AGAAAGGCGGGGCATAGAGGAGAAACAATAATGTACAGTATGTGGAAAATAATGTGTTTTTTTAACTTTAAACCTTATAAACACATTTCATTACACCAAATACACAAAATAATGTTCTTTTTAGCAGCATCATATGACCCTTTTAAAGTATCCCAATTCCGCGGGAAAACCGCGGACTTGGCAACACTGCTTATGAACCGCCCGCAATATAGCGTTTCCTTGTTTACAGCTGTAAACAAAGCAGAGCTGTGCTTTATACGGAGGAGAAGAAAATGCCATTGCCATCGAAACTTTTCTCAAGACAGTTCCCTTCAGTGATGCATTAATATAACCCCAGAAATGTAATGCATTTTTGTACTTATTTTACTGTTATTTTTGGGATCTACTGGGACAGTGATAAAGATCTAGAAGTCGATCGGGATCGACGGGTTGGTGACCACTGCTCTACATAATAGGGATGCATATTAAACTCTGATTATTGAAAGATGGTTATTATTTTCATGTCATGGATTATATTATGATATTTTCTATACTATTTTGTTTAAAGTAATGATGCTAAAAAAAACACTCAAAAATTTGGGGTCGGTAAGATTTAGTAAATGTTTTTGAAAGAAGCCTCTTATGTTTACCAAGGAAGGCTGCATTTATTTGATCAAACAGTAAAAACTAATTTTGTGAAAATTGTTATTTAAAATGACCATTTTCTATCTTAATATATTTTAAAATGTAATTTGCTGAATTAAAAGTATATTGAGTAAATCTTGCTAAAGTTTGATATTACCCAATGGTATGATTTAAGAAATCACAAATATCATCTAATATCCAATATGTGACCCTGGACCACAAAACCAGTCTTAAGTCGCACAGGTATATTTGTAGCAATAGCCAAAAAAAACATTGTATGGGTCAAAATTATTGATTTTTCTTTTATGCCAAAAACCATTAGGATATTAAGTAAAGATCATGTTCCATGAAGATATTTTGTAAATTTCCTACTGTAAATATATCAAAACTTAATTTTTGATTAGCAATATGCATTGCTAAGAACTTAATTTGGACAAATTTAAAGGCGATTTTCTCAGTATTTTGATTTTTTTGCACCCTCAGATTCCAGATTTTCAAATAGTTGTATCTCTCGGCCAAATATTGTCCTATCCTAACAAACCATACATCAACGAAAAGCTTATTTATTCAGCTTTCAGATGATGTATAAATCTCAATTTCGAAAAATTGACCCTTATGACTGGTTTTGTGGTTCAGGGTCACATATTGTACTGAATCTACATCTACCGTGTGCATTCCTGCTGCATAATAACTGTATATTTAATGTGATCTAAATTCAGATTAACCTGGAAATTTGTTTTGATATTCAGCAGATAAGTGTAATTATCATGACTTCATGATCTTTGATCTCTCTTTTTCAGGAGGTCAGTGAACCTGCCAAGGATGAGAAGGCAGTGGCCAAGTACCTGCGCTTTAACTGCCCCAACAAATCCACCAACATGATGGGACATCGAGTGGATTACTTTGTCGGTCAGTGCGCTCATTCCTGCCATGCTTTCTTCTAGGGCTGAACGATTAATTGCATTTGCGATAATATCGCGGTATGAGAAAACACGATTTTTCAATCGCAGAGGCTGCGATTACACTCGGTCACGTGACACGCGAGAGTGAAGAGGTGTGTTCCACTTGAAGATCGATCGGTGTATGACATCAAAGTACGGCGAGAGAAAGCATAAGGAGACGTCCGCTCTCTTATAGCGCTCGCAGTACTTTGATGACACACACCCATCGGTCTAAGCAGCGCTGCTTCAAGTCGAGCGCGGGCCATCAGCAGAA